AATTTTACCTATAAATTAGGTCTGAACCCCAATATACTAGTATATAGAAGAGGAGTTGGGTGGTTATGGTATGAGCTGGACAATTTTGAAGGATCATCTTATACAAAAATTTGGCCTAGATTTGAATCTATATCTGGAACGCAATGTATTGGCTAAATGGTAAATTAGATTTTCTGGTTGAGCATTTCATGTCTATGCTATATGCAGGAAGATAATGCTTATTATTAGTCTGCATCTCGATGCGATTAGAACATGCGTATTCTATTATACTGTTAGGGGAATAAGTTGTTAGGGCTTAGCTGTCAAAACTTGCACTTCAGTTGCAAGGGTGGAGAGAGCTAGTAAAAGAATATCTTGATGTTGTAATCTAATTTTTACACTAATTTCCGGTTAAACTTTGTCATTCTTTTTGTGCAATAAACTTGTTGTAATTAATATTTGTTTTTAATTGTTTGAGTTAAATTAATTCATGTTATAATGTTTCATTTATTTTATAATTGTATATTATTCATTATAGCTATTAATTTTATGAGCTAACTCTTCTTTACAGATGCAAAATATTTAGAGTGTGGTAGTTTTTTGGTGCAATTGCCTCAGCTAATTATCATATCACATGAAGGACCTGATGCAAGAGAAAAGAGGCATGGTCTTGCAGGAATGGATGAAGGATACACCATAGACCATGATGTGGAATCAGGAAAGCTGATAACCGTGTTTATTGCTCTGGACTACCCATAATTTCAGGTATCTTTGTGATCTCCAGTGGTTTACTTATCATCCCTTAAGATTTAAATGCATTTCAACAGATTAATCAACATTAAAAAGAACATATTTCTACCATTGTGTTCTATTTAGGAGATTTGTAGATCATTAAGAGCAAGGTTCTTTAACACTATATTACGTTTAGCATATGCTTATGTTTTGCTGCTTCCCTCATTCTTCAAAATTACTCGGTTATTTGTTCCTGCCTTGCCATATCTCAACTAAGCTCATCTTTTTGTTGATGGTGGTCCTAGTTGTCTAACATCGTGTTCCAGCATTTATCAAAGGGTCATTGTTGTCATTATGGTATTTTACTTAAATGTGGTACCATGAATGAGTGGATTTACAATATATTAATCATGTCTTATCCATTATATATATCTTGTATGCCAATGAGTGAAGGATGTCCATATCATTGAATTAAGCTGGGCACTACCTTGTCTTTTGCAAGAGTATCTGAAGAAACCGGAAGATTATTTGGCTCATCTTATTGGTCATGGTATATAATTCTGCATTATCTTAATGATTAAGTAGGAGGTTGCTCACAGAAGTAATAATAACAAAGAAAAGGATGCAGATTTATGAGTCTTTAATCCTTTTGTAGTACACTCCTGCAATTGATATGTGGAGTATAGGATGCATATTTGCTGAGATACTTACAGGAAAACCACTTTTTCCTGGAAAAAATGGGGTGCCTCAATTGGATCTCATGACCGATATGCTTGGCACTCCTCCTAAATCTATATCAAGGGTTAGTTATCTTGTTTCTTATATTTCACTTCGACTTGACGCTGATTTCAAGCTTTGTTACTGAGATTCTACTTGAGAGATTAGATACTGATCACTCACTGCCAAGGTATGATTCTAGTCACACATGTGCATGGATGATAAGTAATAATGATGACTGATTGTTGATTCTTTTGAAACCAAATCTCTGGCTAGGATCGGTGCAAGCGCCACTTGTTATTTACTCCAACAGTCTAATACTGGGATTACTGGATTGCATTATTATCTAAAAAAATACTCGGTATTATGAACTTCACTGTATTAACCCTGAGACTTTACATACTCTTTTCATTGGTGTAGTGCAATAGCCTTTAGGATTCTCAACTTCTTTGGATCTGTTTTTGGTGATCTTACTGAATCAATGATCAAGCGTGATGTTGGTGTCAAGGACTCTGGCTCCCTAATCCCCGGTCATGGTAATTGTAGTTGCTCATGATTATTTATTCAATTAATTTTTGATACTTTGAGGGTGAACACAATCTTGCTTACTTTAAACAATTGAAAAGAAGCTGCTCATTACATGACTGAATAATTATTCATGGATCATATCTCCTTCCGTTTTGTCATCTCTATATTAACATTGCGTTTGCACTGTCGAGCATGTTGTAGTTGCTCATGATTATTTATTCAATTAATTTTTGATACTTTGAGGGTGAACACAATCTTGCTTACTTTAAACAATTGAAAAGAAGCTGCTCATTACTTGACTGAATAATTATTCATGGATCATATCTCCTTCCGTTTTGTCATCTCTATATTAACATTGTGTTTGCACTGTCGAGCAGGTGCAATACTCGACAGAGTGGATAGTTACATGTTCACGGTGTACTCGCATACTCGTTTGTCAAAATCATATTGTTGCACAAATTTTGATCAATAGCACAAGAGGGGATACAAGATAGAATTTATTCCATGTTTATATATATATATATTTATATCGAAAATGAGTGCAGAAGCACATTTGATGGATTCATGCAGAGTGTTGCTGAAAATTTGTATCGACATATTTTGTATCGACATATGATTACAATATTTTTGATAACTTAATGTTAATATATTGTATGCAAATGGATTGCTTATATATAATATGATATATATATTTAGTATTATGAGGCATTAAATGTGATTTAGTTTGATTATTTGTCAATCTACAAAATATATATATATATATATAATTTACGACATATAATCACGACATAAATGTCGATAAATGTTTGATTATTATGAGGTTTCAATGACATGCAATGTACGTCATAAATGTGTCATAAATTTATGACACGTAAATGTGTGTCGTTTTCATTTATGACGGGGCTTCAATGACGCGCAATGAGCGTCATAAATGCGTGTCATAAATGCGCGCCATAGATTTATGACGCACAATTGCGCGTCATTTAAGATTCATGTCGGTGGTTTCAAGGATAGACATTTGTGTGTCATCCGTACCTATAGATGACGCGCAATGCGCGTTATTAAAGGGGTTTTTTCTAGTAGTGGCAAGAAGATTCATTATCTTCTTTATCTTTTTATAAATGAGAATAAGTAATCTATTTGGATTACTTAATAAGAGTAACTTTTATTTATCGTCCAATATGTAAATGGATTGAACTTATCTTTAGTTTAGAGACGATCTGCTAGTGAAAACTAATGTCAATGTGGAGTCAATTGAAACCGGACGGAATGTGTTGGATTGATTTCATTCTGTATTTTTCTTGTTTGCTAAGCTTCTTATGAATATTATGCAATTATTTAATGCTTTCTTGTGTAAATGTGAATTAGGTTCGGTCCGGGATAGACCGATGAGAGGTACTACAATCTATTATTCTCCTAAAAATTTTAAATTTCTATATATTTTAAATATTTTTTATTAAAAACTTATTTTCGTCTTTTAAATTTTATAAGTTCACTTCTTTTAAACTTTTATAAATTTATCCCTTAACAAAAAGCCCCGACTCCGTCCCTAGGTTGGTGAAGGAGACTAAAGTGAATTGACATCATTTGTTATCTCAAAGCTGAAGAATGTTTGAGTCTGCGGAGTAAAATCTATGGTTTGAATAATATATAGAAGATTTGAATCAAAGGTGATTGTCTGTGGGTTGATAGTCATTTGCATGAAATGTTCATATTTATCTTGTTTAGTAAGAAAGGAATCAAAGAATGCAGGGTAATGAATCAATATAGCATATCTATAGAAGAAACCTAATGTTTTCTCTTAATATTATTATATCGTATTATTCTCTTCTTTTGTTTTTTGTCTAGCGAGAGACGACACTAATCTTAATGTTAGTTGTCGACTGTCGATGATTATTATTTTTCTTTTCTTTTTTTATATGATGTCTTTGTTTTTTTTTCTTGAGTTTTTTCACTTTTAAATAAGAATATTTGTCATTGTGACATGTTTTTCTATGCTCTTGTGACACATTCCTTATGATTTTCGGTAAGTTTTTCGCATATTTATGCGGTCGTGTTGGTGCTTCCACAAAGATTCTCACGGCATTTGTTTTCTGATTGTCCTATCGGTGGTCACATATTATCAAATCCTCTCTTATGTAAGTGTTTGTTTGCCGATATAATAAGAATTGTATAGCGAAACGGTTTGTCAAATTATTTTGTTCGCTCACCACTATTTTATCACATCGTAAAACATCTCGTAGAAACAAAGAGTTTTATGAAGGTTATTGGATTGTTTTGATGCTTGAAATGTTTCAATCCCTTTATATCTTTGGGTTTAATATTTTTATTTTATGTATGAGTTTTTGGTGACTATTATCTCTAATTTTCCTTTTAGATAGGTTGCAATTTTGATTCATCCATTTTTGTTAATAAAATTTAGTTAACGTTGTTAAAAAAAATCAGGGTAACGATAATTATTTTCAGAAAAATGTTAAGGAAAATACTTTTAATTGGCTGTTATGAATTAAAAAAATCCGAAAACAACATAATTGGTTGTATATATTATATTTAATAAATTAAATAATTATTTTCGTCCAATTAAAAAACTCAAAATATAGCAATAACTTAAGATTTTTTTAGGTGTCAGGTATTTAATACTTAAATTATCACCATTATTCCATTTTGGCCATCTAACTATTATTTTTTTTCAAAATTATACATTACGTTTTGGTTTCATTCTGGTGATATGTCATTAAAAAATTAACATAATTATTAATGTGATATTTTTTAAAAAAGGTTCAATGATGACTTGACATTATCTTATGGTGACAAGTCAACATCATCATTAATTTTTTAACGGTGAGTGACCAAAATGAAAATATAACGTTAAGTATGATTTTAAAAAAAATAGTTAAGTGATCAAAATAGAATAAAATTGATAATTCGGGTGATAAATGTATAGTTTACCCTTTTTTATTCTCTCCAATGACACTACATTTTTTCCCTTTAACTATTGACTTTTATAGAAAAGGAAAAGAATAAGTATATAAAAGAGAAAACAAGAGAAGTGACTCCATCAGTTTACATCTCTTTCTTTTTGCCCAAGACTAAATCTCTGTTTGCTCCCGCAATTTCCGTTCTGTTATTTTCTCCGATTCCGGTACTCCTATTTTCCTTATCTTTCGTTTCATGTTTCTTGTCTTTCCTATTTATTTATTTTGTTAATTTTCTTATGTATATTGCATAATCATTTTGGTTTTGATTGTTATTGAATATTGATTCGTTTGGTTGTTTCGTATTCTTCTTCTTTATTAGTTAATTTGATGATATATCTTTCCTGGCCTTTTGCATTGGGGCTTCTGTTGAATGCGCTTTTTGTTTTAAATTTTATTTTTATGCAAATCCTTGTTGTATGATTGAAACAGTTGCTGTTATTTGATGCAAAAGAGAATAGATAATCACCATTAGGGTTACGATGCATGGGGAAATAATTGTATTTACTTCTTCTATATGCAATGGCTGCAAACAAACAAAAAGGCTTGGCTCTTTTTTCCATTTCCCCCCTTCTTTAGCATCATACGGGGGGTTTTTTTTTTATTATTATCTTGTAAGTTGTAACTTGAATAACATTTTGCCAAGAACTTTGAAGCACGAACATTGTGTCAATTGTCAAGGAGGTATCCAAGTGTTATACGCATTGCTAGAAACTATCGGGTCAAAATTTTTTTCTCAATAATAAGCAATTTAGTTCCGATTACAAATTTGAGGTTCAGGTTTTTAAATTGAAAAACTATTTCCATATTAATAAAATCTAGTTGGAAAATATAAGTTTTACAGTTTTATTGTTTGTTATTATAATGCAATTTTTATTGTTGTTTCCTACTGTACTCATTGCCTAATTTTCTTGAAAATTCCATGTCATCCTTTTCATATCGTTTTGTATCAGTATGTGTTTCCATATCCCTGATGCTGAGACTAAGAAAGTAAAAGAACCTTATTTGTTTTAGGGAGAAAAAATTATGAATCTTTGTTGTATCCTGGTATACTATTTAGATTAATACTTCTTTTCCTTGAACATTTATGTCAATTTATTTCAATTTTTATAAAACCACTATTGACATCGATGGATCGTTCTTTATTAGAATGATCTAATAGTATATGTTATTTAAAGTGCATGTCTTGGCATGTTTAATATATATACTTCAACTTTTAAGGAATTCCTATTTGCTAAATTCACTACTCTTTTTCCAATATCACCTGTGTTTAAGAAAATGCACATATTAGATGTACGTTTACTGCAAGTCTGCAATGCGGCCTCAAAGATGATTTTGAGGATTTGCCCATCCCAATTAATGACTGGACTGCTAAGTCTGTTGCGTGCATATTCTGTTTTGTTTCTGGTTTTCTCATCATGCCATCCCCCCTGTTGCTATTCGCATCCTTATAGATTGTTGGGGTGCGATGTGAATATGATAGACTATATGATTTTCTAATTTTCTTTCTTATATGGCGAACAGAATGTTCATACTTTTTCTATGTCTTAGAGGGGAATGCAAAGTAATGGAAACTATATTTGAATTTTAGTGGATTATAATTCAAATTAAAATCAATTGAACTTGAAAAAAAATCAGTTATACTTGACTTTTTTTAAAAGAAAATCAACAATACTTGGAACATAAAAATTTTCCTTGTTACATCTTTTTCTGATGCTAATTAAATTGTTTTTTATGTTTTATTCATCGTGAAGTACGGGTGGAATATAGAATCAAAGAGGCAACAGAAGTTTCTTTTTCTTGGACTGATTGGTTGAACATAGAAATTTTCCTTGCTAAATCTTTTTCTGATGCTAATTAAATTGTTTTTTATGTTTTATTCATCGTGCAGTATGGGTGGAATATAGAATCAAAGAGGCAACAGAAGTTTCTTTTTCTTGAGCTGATTGGTTATGGAATGAGCTCTGTTACTGTTTTCTGAAACGAAAGTTATGGAGAACAAATCATACCAGAATCCGGCTGAGCTGCTGGTAAAGGAATATTTACTAGCAGATTCCTTCATCTCATACACATCAATTATTTGTGGCATTTGTGGATGCAAGATGGTATGTTCCTAATCAATTTTGTGATTTTCTGTTCAGATTGAAAATAATTCAATTGAGTTAGAATGACGATTTGCAGCTACATGAAGCTAATTTGGTTTTTAATGTTTTTTTATGATGATGATTACTTTTAATTGGGCTTTAGTTTCTTTTCAGTTTTCACTGTTTCTTTCCCTTTTACTAACTTTTCCTACTTTCCCTTTTACCAGGTCTATGATCTTACTAAATTATTTAGCAGGGTTTACTTTAAGAGCTATCCTAGCTTATCAAAAGTCCAACGCACTGAGTGGAGCAACCGGTGACGTATATTTGTATTTTGCTTGAATTTTCTATTACATTTTGCTTTTATCTATACAGAATTAATGTCCTGATCATTCATGCAGGTCCATATCAACCTTCCATGCTATTTTCATTACAGCTATGTCCTTATACTTTGTGTTTTGGTCAAATCTCTATTCTGACAACCAATATGCTAGTCTGGTTACTTTCCGCAGTTCTGCACTGTCTACATTCAGTTTGGGGGTGAGGACCATTTTTTTTCTTTTCATCTTTGATGGAAACTTTTGGAATTGAGATAATATTTGATCATTTATGTCTGGTCTTTTATGTTTGACTTATAAATTGGATACTAGTACGAGGATGATCTGTCTGCCTTTAGTAACATGTCATCATAATTGTTTTAGACTTTTAGTCATGCAATTTAGTACATATATGTCTCCTGAGTGGTTTAATTTTAAGCATATTTAGTGTATCCTATAGAAGAAGCAATGAAGTGTTAAGTTTCTTTATTGAATATTTAAATTTCCAGTGAAAGAAAAAATTTACTTGATAAATTCAAATGATGCTGGTGATACAACCATTGATTCAACGGACTTTCCTGAATTGCTGTTGATTTCTGTTGCTGAAATTGATCTTGCATTTTCTAGGGACAACAATGAAGAGTACTGCCATATGTTTATCTACGTAACATGCATATCCTTTGTCTTGCCTGCAACTGCAATTTTTTTTTGTTTTAATGTGGCTAAGGTTCTCAGCTGGTTGGTTTCCTAGCCCCAACAGAATATAACATATCTCCTTAGCCAACACTCTTGTTTTCTTGCGAAACAAGCAACTTAATTGTGGTGCAAAACTATGAATGAATGCTAACAGTTTTCTGCAATTTTTTAACAAACTGAACTTTAAGGTTAAGACAAGCAATTTCTAGAGACACAGGATGAGATTTTACATTGATAGTATCAGAGACTGAACTTTTTCATTGAAACTTTATAGTAAGCTGGGTTCAATTTTCTTAGGGATTTGCTAGGATTGATTTAATGGATTATAGGATTCCCTCCATTATTTTTTGTTATTACTTTTCAATGCATTCATCGTTACAATTCACTTGAGCAGGACTCGTTTATTATTTGTGAAAGTCATATACTTGTGAATATGATTAACCACGCAATGCAAAGTAATGGATTGAGAAGTGGAGGGGTGTCAGACCTGGGTTCAGTTCACCTCTGATGTGAAGACTACTCATAAAAACAAATGCCCCATGTCACAGGTAGGTAGCATACAGCAAACATTTTCACCCTGATCGGGATTTCACTATTAAAAGCTCAGTCTCTGACACTATCAATGTAAAATCTCTTCCTGTGTCTCTAGGATCTTTCATGGTCATGAAGCATGGTCTACTTACTGAATAAGTAAATCACATCTGCTTTTGAGCTGGAACTTTTATCCTCCATCTTCTAATAATTGAGTGGATGTCTGGTGCTGGGTTAGGTCAATGCATACCAGTTTCACTTGAAGTTGATCAATGGTTTGGCTATTATGTTTCTTTAACCATCTAGCGGTTGGTGTTAAAAGGAGAAAATTTAGTTAGGTCCCTATGCTTGGAGGATGGTCAAAGTGGAACAGCTGAACTTAGGGAGCAAATCTGTCAAATTAAGCCTTTTGGCATCATAGTATCTTGATTCTCATGAGTAGCATAACCAAATCCCAAGAAAACTTAGCTGATTGCCCGACTTTTGCCGATACATTATACTAGGTGGTACTATCCATATAACTTAATAGGAGGAAATATCTACATGGGCTTGCTTTACGATTTGGTTGGAATAAGCTTTTGCCTTCATTTTGCTAGGGCTATTGGAAAGCCCTTGCACTTTCTCAAATTTCTGATATCAGCGGTCAGCCCTTATGAGCCCTGAAAAATAAATAATGATAAGGGCTTATGTGAAAAACATGGAAAAGCAAGTTTTTGTTTAGTATGTTAGCTTTTCATATTGCAGAACAATGAGCTATCAAATGGAAGTTTAAATAATTAATAAATACAATCAGAGAAGCTGAAAATGTCACGGAATTATTCACGAACCACAGACCAAGTAACACACTGCCCATCACGTCACTTTTTTAATGTGGCTGGAAACTAGCTGTTTGGCACTCTTGTTTGCGCAAGAGGGAAATATATTTCTGTGAATTCATCTTTCTGAATCTTCATATTATCTTATCATTTCTTTCGGTTTATACTTTTTGAGATTTTTTTTACAGGTATCGGTTGGTTACTTTCTTGCGGACCTGGGGATGATCATTTGGTTTTACCCTTCTCTAGGTGGAATGGAATATGCAAGTATTTTATTGTTTGATCATAGTCTTGCCGTAAGGTTGTAAACGAGTCGAGTCGAGCTTGAGTATTGCCAAGCTCAACTCGACTCGAAAAGTTTAAAATTGAGCTCGACTCGACTCGAAAGCTTACGAGTTTAAAATTTTCAAACTTAAAATAAAAAATTAAAGCTAAACTCCAAAAAAAATTGAACTCTAAACATTCTAAAACTTAACTCGATTGAATCTCAAACTTGAGTTCGATCCAAGCTCGAACTCAAATTTGAACCTGAACCTTGAGTTTGTGAAAGCCTTGTATTGTATTTTAAAAAACGACAACATATAAATGTTAATATCATTAATACTTTTAATTTAAAAAATAAAAATTCAATATATTATTTTTTCGAGTTACTTGCGAGCTTTCTGAATCGGGTATCAAGTAGCTCGTTTTGGCTCGTTAAGAACTCGAGTTGAGTCAATTCGATTTGAGTGTTGACTGAGCTTTGAGCGAGTCGGACAGACTTGAACTCGAGTAACTCACAATCTGTCTCATCTCATATACAACCCTTGTCTTGCTCTGCTTTTTCATCTTCATATTAAAGTAGTTTAGTTAGTGAGGCTGATGGAAAGCAACACAAACTTTTTGTTATTCAGGTCCTTCATCATCTTCTGTCACTAACAGCTGTAGCATATTCTATGTTGACTGGGGAGGGGCAACTTTACACTTTCATGGTACTCATCTCTGAGACTACAACTCCTGGGATCAACTTGAGATGGTGAAAATTACAATCCTCTTATGTCAATTGTAAAATACATGTTACTTTTACTCTATGTTACGAATATTCTGGGCTCGTGTAGGTATCTTGACACAGTTGGAATGAAGAGAACCAGAGCTTACTTGATCAATGGAGTTGTAATATTTGTTGCATGGCTGGTTTGTGAAATCAGTTTATTGCTCTCGATTTTTTTCATTTAATCTGCATTATGTCCTTTCCACCAATTCTCTAATCTTTGATGTTTTTGCCAGGTTGCTAGAATACTCCTGTTTATGTATCTCTTTTACCACGTCTACTTGCATTATGATCAGGTAAAAATTCCCTGCCAAAGTTTTATCTGTTGACATCCATGCTGGGGTGAGCGAGTGATTGAATCGAGTAAAAAAATTTGAGTTATTCGAGTTGACGGGTCTTATTTTATTCTAACTCAAACTTTATTTGAAAATTTTCGAGTTGAGTTGTTCGGGCTTTTGTTTAAATTTAATTATAAATGTTTAAAATATAATGATAATATTTTATTCTAATTTAAACAATTTTCTATAAGCATATACAATACATACATATTTTTTCATATGTGATATACATATATCATATAAAGTTGAGGGACTCGACTCAAACTTGAAAACAATCCACTAATTATTGAAAAATTTGAGTTCGAGTTCTATTTTATAACTCGATTTGAATTTAAAATTTTTTCGAGTCGAGTTCATAAAATTACAAGTTAACTCAATTCTAAAAGATTGGTTTTTTGAGTCGAAAAGATTGAATTTTTTAGTCGAGTCAAGTTTTACTCACCGTTATCGTTAGTCGTGTGGTGTATTTGCTTGGATTTTAACCGTTGGCTCGGGTGAAAACAGGTGAAGCAGATTCACGGGTATGGACTAGTGTTAGTTTTTGTGGTTCCGTCAGTCCTATCAGTTATGAACTTGATTTGGTTCGCAAAGATTATTAGGGGATTAAGGAAGACAATAGCAAAGAGGCACTGAGCAAAGATTGTAATGTATACAAAGGGTAGGGTACAGTTGGAAACTTCAGTTTTTATTCAATTTTCTGAATTCTTAAGTATTGATTTAAAACTAAAATCTATGTATGCACTGAAGTTAATTGAATTAATAATTAAATTATACATGCATTTTCATTTCATAATTTTATAAAAAGAAAATTTATCATTTGATTAGAATGAATGGTAGTTAATACGAAACAATACATAAACCAACATTATTTTATTGGGTAAATCACATGTTTAGTATCTTAACTATCATTTTTGTTCTGTTATGATCATTTAATTTTTTTTAAAAAAAATTCATATTTAATTTTTATTTTTGGTTTCATTTCAGTCATTTGTCGCTAAAAAAATTAATGTTAACGTTGATGTGTCATCACAAAATAATATCGTGTTATCATTGAAAAATTAAAAAATGTTATGTCAACAATTCTGTTAAGTTTTTTAACGTTAGAAGACTAAAATAAAATTAAAATATAATATTGAGTATGATTTTTTTTTTTAAAAAAGAATTGAGCGATCAAAACAAAATAAAAGATAGTTGAAGTATTAAATATGTAGTTTACCCTGTTTTATATTAGCATGAGAGCATGTTTGGAGTTGAAATAATGTTACAGCAGAGACCGATGCTTCGTGTTTAGCTCGTTGTGACTTGTGACTAAAGTGAAATGCCTATTATCTCTCACCGGTATATATTTATTGTTTTATAAAAACTAATATATTGATATATTAATTCAGTTTGAATATTTATTATTTTAGTTTATTTATAATATTAGAATTGAAATCTGAATTTACTTTGTGTCTCATTCCATACTAAATCAAATATACATTGATGAGGTTACAATCTGTTTAAGGGTCGTGTCTATTTAGTTTAAAGTTCAGTTGATATTTAAAAGGTTGAACTAAAATTATTAGAGTGAGAAATTTTAGTCCCCTTTAAATGCTTTTAATCTATTTTTAACTCCCAAACTTTTATAAGGTTAAGATCAGTCAAGCCTGCAAACCCCTCAAGAATGCTTAACAATGGATGACATGCATCGACATTCCCCACAAATTTTATAGGATAAAAATCATAAATGATGATTAAATTATATTAAAATGATACTTTTATATATTAAAGGTCCAAATATAAACTATTTTCATTTTTATTTTCACCTTCTTAGAATATAAAAACTCTTAACGAAAATACATTTGGTTGTAAAATTAGAAAATAACTCCTAGAAAATAAAAACGAAAGAAAGTGAAAATATAAAAACATAAAAAATGTTTTCAATATTTTTATTAAAATTATTTTAGAAATTTTAAAAAAATAGAAAAGCATGGACTCTAGATTTTTTATTTCACTTACGAGGTTCAAATCCTTCTAAAAATATTTGTTTTGCTTAATGGAATTTCAAATCCTCAAACTTTCACAAAAAGTTCAATTCAATATCTAAACTTTTTTTTACACTCAATATAGTCTTTGAATTGATTTTTTTAATAATTTATATTTTAGTATTTTTATATTTAATCAATTTAATATCTTAATAGTTGTTTATAGTTAATGATTTTTTTCTAAAAAAGTTAAATAAGTCCTCAAATTGTATAAAAAAATTAATTATGTCCTCTAACTTAGTCAAAAAATCAATTAAGTTTATCTACCACATCATCGTTCATTGTATACTACCACATTAATATCATGAACTATCACATCAATATTGTCATGTAAGCTCGTGACAGTCAATGTTTGATTTTATGGTCAAAGAGTTTGATTGATTTTTTTCTCAGTTTAAGAGTCACATTGAGTGCAAAAAATGTTCATGGGCTATATTAATTTACCCCCAAAAGTTTGGGGGCCTCAATTAACACAAAACATATATATATTTTTTATTTTAATGATATTTTTGTGTGCTCTTGCTTACAACAATATTTTTGTATATTTTTTAAATTTAATTGATATCCAATATGCATTAATATTATACTCTTATTATAAATTAAGATAATTTTGTGTTATAAAATTTCTTATCAACTTTATTTTACATTTGTATAATTCACATGTTAAATTTATGTAATATTTTTTTACTAATGATAGTTTAATTTAATTATTTAATAACTATTTGTTCATTCTCAAAGTAAAAAATAGATACTAAATACATATATACTATTTTTAATTATGGATTCAAATTTTAATTTATATTAACCAAACATGTTTTCTAATTTAAATAAAAACTAAAAAATGAAAAATATTTTTTGAAAACAAAAATTGAAAATAAAAACATAAAGTATTTTCTAAAACCATACGAACTCTAAACTTTCAAACTTTTACAATGGACACAATTTTAAATTTTGTTATAAATGAGCACAATACCACTAATTACCATTAAATATGTGATGTGACATGCTAAACTAGTGAGAAATATCTCATTTGACCCTTCAATTTAACTAAAATTTCATTTTACTGTTAATTTTAATCAAGATAATTTTATTAAGTTAATTGAATTGAAAACAAAATAAACGTAAATAAAATAAATATAATTATTTATTGTCATAGTATACATATTGGGTTTGTATCATATAAATTATTTGATATGTTATTAAAAGTTAACTATTATTTTGATTATTTATTTAAGTGTGGATGTATTTGATGAACTATTTTTTTTACAAAATTATAATTTTTAAAAATATTTTTAATTTTAAAAATAAATTGTTATCATATATATTTTTTTAAAATCCTGAATTTTATATTTTTGAAATCATTACTTTAAAACATTGAAAAATATATATGAAAATAAAATTTTAGTTACAATTGAAGGGCCAAATAAGATATTTTTTTATTAATTTAGCATGTTACGCCACCCCTTAACAATATTTAATATTCAATATCCATTTTTTAACAAAATTCAAAATTTAATGTATCTTTTAAAAATTCAATTACAAATAATATTATTTTAGCAAAATTTAATGGTCATTTATGAATTTTTTCCTATGAAAATATCAGTGATGCATATCAATGTACGTCGTTAGTGATGCATATCGATATGTGTAGTACATTGTAAACTCATCCTACAACTAATTTCAATATTAAATAGTTATTAAATATAGTAAATATTAAATAAAGTTCGTATGAGTTCATATTCCTTCCTTTGTCTTCTATTCTTTTGTTTTTCATCTATCTATATCTTATTTTACAAGTATGAGTTTGTTCGTAGTCTCCTATAAGTAATTTTGAAAAGTCGTCTTCAGTTGTCACTCCCATCTGGGATGAAATTCATTATCTCTTATAAATAATTTTAGAAATGTAGATGATTTTCCTTATAATATTTTTTCGTTTAAAAGTCTCCCTTGCCTAATGACGAGTTTGATAGAACTTGTGATTGTATATTATTTTGAATTGTTTTGCATTTGCAGTTGTTAAAGTTTTGAGAATAGTGTTTGAAATATAAAAAGTAGAAAGTGATCTGGGCACGAATAGAAATTTTAAATGCAGAAAGTGTAAATGGTGAGGGAAAATGTGAAGTTAATAGTATTGAAAATAAGATTATTGAAAGTATTTTGTTAATAGAAGAGGAGCCATAGATTATGCTGTGGTCCATGCAAATCTCTGTACATAACATCTTGAAGTGGGGCCAGTAAAACTTTAATAGAATTGAGTGAGAAAGAATCAGTTGTCGCCATCTTTGCTAAGAGAGCAGCTGTCGTGTTTGCTTCACGAGGGACATATAAGAATTCAACAAACCGGGATTTGGTGCAATAAGAAGCAATCACACGTAATGATGCGAAAGGACTGGTAGACGATGGAGGAGAAAGAAGATGACATACGCCACTGCTATCCGTTTGCATTGTTAACCTTTTGAAGCCGTAGGTCCAGGCTGGCTGGATGCTTTCATAAATTCCCCAAAGCTCCATATCAAAAGTCGTTGTGGGGCCTAGGGACTTTGTAAAAGCTCCAAGACAAGAACCTGTATGGTCACGGAAAATGCCCCCGATCGAACCATGGCTGGTAGTGCGAGAGACGGCGCCATCAGTATTGAGGACAACCCATCTTGGCTCAAGACGCTTCCACTGAACTTGTGACATTGTTGGTGTTCCACCAGTTCTCCCGCTAGGAGTACAACCAATATAGAGCTTGCTCGAGGCAATACTGAGGTGAAGGATAGATTATGGGGTAGCAACCTGGTTCTGAAAGACAACAAAGTTGCGGGCCTTCCATAACTGCCAAACTAAGGACACAAAAAACACATTCCAAGGACCCTGAAATGTTGGGGAAACCGGGTTATTTCCCACACGAATGTAGTTTCAAAATTGATCTGAAATGTCAAGATCAAAACCACCGAAGGTTGCACAGCGGACAAACCCGTCAAACTATTGAATATTGAAACACAATGGAAAAACCGAATAAAGAACAATAAAGGAAAGAACACACCAAATTTACGAGGTTCGAAGAGAATATCGTCTACTCCTCGGGCACCCACCGGATGATAATTCACTATCAACAATATTACAACAAATAGAATTCTTTAGAATTCCCAAAGTGAGAGATAAAGAAAATAAGAGGAAGAGAGAACTTGTTTTGGGATGATTTCTAATGGAAATACTTAGGCCTATTTATAGTTGAGTGGACGCCAACCAGATGAAATTTCAACTTGTCAAACTTAATTTCAAGTCAAACATAATAAATTTCCACCTTGGCTTGAAAATACCAAGCCTATTCAACTTCTTCAACTCCCCAAATTTGATGGTGTGCCTCTAATTGCGCTCACAAGCACCACACACCCAAAGGTGTTATACTTTCAGGATGTTAATCAAGTTCAAGCAATGATTGAACTTGATTACTGTTACCACCTTGGTCATCATATCTGCAGGATTTTCTGATGTCGTAATTTTCTGAAGTAGAATATTTCCTTCTTCAAAGATCTCCCGCACAAAGTGATACCTCACGTCGATATACTTAGTCCTTGAATGGTAGACTTGATTTTTCGCTAAGTGAATAGCGCTCTGACTGTCACAATAGAGATTAATGTGACTTGAACAACTCCGAAGTCTTCCATCAACCCG